CTGCCACTCCGATGGCCGCCACGAGGTCTCGCCTCTGCTCAACCCATGCCGGGCACTCCGCCAGCGTGTGGAGAGCCGTGTCCACGGTCTGGCCATCGCAGTGGTGGCACTCAGGCGTTGGCTCCTTGCGGATCAGACACAGGTGATCCCCGAAACATCCTTTCCCAGTGATCACCTGCGTCAGTCGGTATGAGAGAGTCCCGTGACGCCTCTCGAGCCAATCCTCCATAACGGGTCTTACCGCCGCGATGACGGCGTGCCCGGCGCTCGGTTGCCCGAGTCGTTCCCTCCACTCCCCTATGATGACCTGGCGGAGTTGGGATTTCCGGTCATCGATTTCTCGAATCTCGGGACAATGACCCAACTCCCGCGCCTCCTTGCGCCACTGATACAGAGCCGCAAGGGCTCTCGCCTCCAGGACCCACGGTGGAGTTCCGGCCAGGAGACTCGCCGCCTCAAAGGAGATCGTGCGGTACCCCCTTATGATCCTGATGGCCAGCACTCGCTGCGGTCGTCGCAGTATCGCGACGTTGCTGGCCTTCAGGCCCCCGCCCATACTGGACACCCGTAAAGGGCCATGGACCGCACAACCCCCGAGTAGAGTCTCCTGTAGGAGTCATCGGGTCCCTTCATGTTGGGCAGCAGCCGCGCCAACGCACGTGCTGCCCTAACCAACTTGGGGACCAGACCTCGGAAATGATATCCGAAGTCCCATCGGCCATCGAGTACGAGCCCCAGATACCTGATCGAGGGCTCGATGCCGATGCGAGTGCCTCCTACCGTGAGGCTAGATCCCTCAGGCGGCTTCCTCCGAAGCCCGTGGAAGAACAGGGCCTCGGACTTGTGCAGAGTCACCTCGAGACCCAGCCGCCGGATTCGCTCAACGACTTGGGCAACCCCGGCCGTGGCCCTCAGGCTTGCCTCGTGGTGCGTCTTGCCGCGGCGACACCATCCAAGAAGGCACCACGAAGCACCCAGTCATAGCCGATGTTCCACAAGAGTGGCCCTAACACCGACCCTTGCGGAACACCGCACGACATTTCTAATCCGGATTCCTCCTAATCCGAATTCCTCCTACCGCCCACCTTCTTCATTCTCTATTCTATTAGTCTCCGCCGTACGGTTCGTCGGAATTGTGTCCGAGTGGAGATCATCCTCCCGGGCCCTCTCCGCCGCCTCCTTCTGTGAGATGACGTCTTCGCAGAAGGATGCGACTGCGGTAAAACAACTGTCACTGCCGACCATGGAGCGTATGACGACCGGTAGCGAGAGATCTTCTCCACTGACTGCAACGAGGACCCGACGCTGAGACGCTCAAGCCGGGAAAATTGCCAGCGTGTGCTGAGCCGAGTCCTCCCTCACGCAATAATGACACAGCCTATTGCCGTCAAACATGTATTCTTAAATAACCATGCAGAACAGATTCAACACAACAAATGATCTTGTTCATCATACAATATTTGTACTAAGTGGGACTCTAACCCACGAACTCTGATTTAGCAATCAAGATCGCTAACAACGAGACCAACAGGTCAGACAAGTATGTAGTTACTAAATTTAAAAGTATAATAAAACCTCAGATGTGCATTTTGCTCCTCGAATTTTTTTTCTAATCTGAGTTTGTTGTTAGAATAGTTATTAGAACAAAATTATGTTTAGGTTTTTGACGTTTATTGTGCTCTAGCCTAAACAGTTTTGGCCAGCTGGATTACATTATGAATGTACAGGATATACAAACACAGGGATTATTACTATAATTTTGAAATTACATTATATCCAAAGTTGATGGATTTGTGAGCGCATTTTACGATAGTAATGTTAAAATATATTTTTATAGTAAACACTGCAGTCGTTATCTCATATGGGTTACAAACAATTCATAAGCTACATGTACGAGGGCGGGTCAATAAGTCCGTGACTTTTAGAATAAAACACAGATTTTTTATATATATATAATAAATCATTTTAACTCATCTCATTTTGTTTAATGTGCTATTCTTAACTCATTCCTAACCACAAAATTTGCTTTAAGTATATTGCTAATTAAGCTAGTATACTGGAGATTTATAGATTTCGCATTTTTATTATATCCGCGATAAATCTATAAACCAATTGAACCAATACCAAGAAATCGAGGTTAACGGGCGATCACGATAAATAACGTGATTTGCAATTTTCTGATACGACTTTAATTTCCAGGCGTCAATTAAATACCATTGTAATGTCAAGCTAGTAGTTTTAGTCTAAGATTGTTAAATGTGTTGATTTAAAAGCTTTTGATATTAGTGTATTGTACAAATTACTCAATGGACGTCGTTTTGCTAATAAAATTTACAAATCGGTACTTATTTGTTTTTATTTAGCCCAGGAAGCGGACGCAGGATATGCATGCAGGATACAAATTGTTCTTAGTATTCCCATCTTATATTAGAATTAACTGTTTTTGGTAAAAACAGTATTTTACTAACTTATTTGGGGCCAGGCTTCCTTATGTGTACTTCTGGTCTCAGGTTAATCAATAAATTGAATGCGTCTCGGAGTTCTGAAGCTTTTTTTCCATAAGTTTTAAATCGTCAACATATAACATTATCCACTGGACCTTTCTTTGAAAATGCCGCCTTAGGTAATTTATGTCCTGGTTAAACAGCAGTGCGCTGAGAGCCGACGCATAGTGCATTTCAGCTGTAACTAAAATGGGACACATCTCACACCTGCAGGCCACGAACTTGCTGCGATGCCCTCATAATACATTTATTTGTAATCAGAGCTACGTCAACTTCTATGAAGACCAAATATAATTTTTATTTATTTATTCTGTACTTTTCCATGAGAAGTCTGAGGGTGTATAAGAGTTCAGTTGTGAACCTCTCGTACGTGAACTTTGTTGGTGTCTAGTTGTTCTGGTCATCGCCGTTAACCAAAATGGGATATCAACCGAACCGGTTATTATTGTCGTAGCGAACCTTGGCGAAGCCTAAGCCCAGCATTGTTTTTTTTTGGCTGAGACGAAAATGATGATGCAACGTCGAACTTGCACGTAAAAATTGAACACAGATGACTTTTGACTCATGATTTGCCAGATTTCCGTTGGAACATTATCAGACCCAAGATTTCCCTTTCATCATCATCATCATCAACAGCCTATGCTAGATTTACCTTTCGCTTAGCTAAAAAAAAATAATAGTTACTAGGTAACATTCGCGTGTAAGCATGTATGGGATATATTTTCTATACCTAAATACTTATTTTTTTAATTTTCAAGTGGGTTAGGGCTGTGCCATTTTCCTTACAATATTACGTCACAATGCGTATTTCATAGTTTGCCAATCAGAGTTTAGAGAGCTTAAAAGCGTTTTAGTGCGGAAGCGAATGAGGTCGCGTAGCTTTTAATAAAGCGGAGCTGGGTGCGACCGAGGTGCGACTGCACTATGAAGGTTTGGAGATGAATGTATTTTAAACACTGGCTCAAACGTTACTGTTTGTTTTGGTCAAGTTATGTTAAATATATGAATTGTATTCGTAGTAGTAATGTTTAAATGAAAACTGGGATAAACAAAATATAATATAAATATAAAGATTTGGACTTATATTCAATTAAATGACTGCAACTGGACCAGGGCCTAGAAATTGATTGTGTACACTTATTGGTTCAGAAAAATTCCAACAAATAATAAGATATAATTACTGTCGCAATTTTACCAAGCATAGCACATGTTTATCTGATAATGTCCTTAAGTATATGAGTCACTTAATATCATGTTTAGTTTTGCTCTAGTCAAATCTAGGTTTTTATATTCTACTATCGGTTATATGGTACAGCTTGCTGGCTCGTAGGATTTACGTGTGTGCGCCTATAATGTCCACATTATCAACATACCGCAATACGTACCTAGAATATACGTATAATCTGTTAATATTAGATCGATATTAAAAGTGAACGCATACAAATGCGCGTGTTAATTAATTTGTTGCGATATATGCTATTTATTTAAATGCTCCATTAAAATAAGCCATCACATTAAATAGTGAGCCGTTATTAGTTCAGTTCACCGATCGTATTTTGCCATTCACCTATTTATAGAGGTAAAAGATATTTTACAGAAACGTAATATTGCGTAAATATACATAGTTTTTAATGGTCGTAAAAATAGACTAGATAGAATTTTTTTTAGATTCTTTAACTTTTAATATTTTTATTCTACTTGTTTTATGGACAGGATAAATGCCTAAATCTTTTAAACATGAATAGTAAATTAATTATGTTAAAAAGTATTAAATTATATGTTCGAAATTAAACAACCACTCGAAAAATTTGGGCTGCTTATAGATTACAGGCCCTATGTGGCAGTTTGACCTACTTTAAATTAATGGATTGCGTAAATCTCTTCAGATTTAATTAATGATAAAAGTGGGATGTAGCAGCTATTGCTATGCAACTGAAAGAAAAGTGTCACACATTTCAACATTGCATCGACATAACGATAATCTTAACCAGGTCATTAAAAATATCGAATTCGGTAGACACAGTATGGCTCGTTAATTTTGGACTGTTGTAATATATGATGTGATCAATTTCAGACCTTATTTTTCGTGTTTTACACATTTTTATATTTAGAAAACAATGTCACCTATTATGAAAATCATGGTGTCATTGCTACATTTATTTTTAATTTGACTAGAAAGGCACCATCTTCACCATCAAATACTAATTATTTGTTTATTCAAATTTATATTTATTTGATTTCTATTTATATATCATTGAAATAATAACACAACAAATAACTGTTTATTTAAATTAGTAGCCCGGCAATTTTGAAGAACGGAAATTTGGTAAAAATATGCTAAAACATCGTAGGTTAGTTGTTAGTAATGAAGTCATGTTGAAAACAAGTGAGATAATGACAGATAAGCTAAAGTACAATGAACCAACATGTTTAGGTATGAGAATGAGCATATTTAACTTTTAATTTTAAACATAGCAGGGTTTTGTTCTTCCTCACCTGTACGATAGATCGTGTCTGCCTTGTGACGTCATCGGTGGAACCCTGAATGGATCGCGGGGCCCTTATACACGTCGGTATCATGATGTCAAACCTTAAGTGATTTACCAAAATCTGTTACACCTATCGATGAAACATTTTATCCAATCACCACACATTGTTGTTTTTTTTTTAAATATTAACACATCAAATTATCCTTGAAACCGTCAATATAAAACGCAATAAACGTTAAAGTTTTAAATCCTTAACGCTGTGTTTAGATTTCCGTAAAACGTATGCATTTATTTATTGTGAGGAGCTTATGTATTTCTTAGAATAAACAAAAATATTTTCTTTAATCAATTAACACATTCTATGCTCCACATTAACTATTTGCCCTCATATATCTTTCGAAGTTAGTCGTATTTTTTCCTTCATTGACTTTATTTAGAGACGCGCAGACACAATGATTAATACTAACCAATATATACTGACCTACGCTCAGATTCCGTCATTTGTAAAATGTAGGCATGAGTGTATAGACAGATAATGTTCTGCAGTCCATGAATGAATGGCTACGTGTACGGGTTAGTGCGATAAACTTCTGAGAATATTTACTCTACTATTGGCGCCGTTCCGCCCACGTATACTTCACTGGTCACAATATTCATGACATGAGATCAAACAACGAACAAGCATGCTACTAGTAGTATAGCACGCGAATACGCACGTGTTTAAATTTGGTATAGTAAGTTTTGTAAATTTTAAAATCTCTGCATTTCCTATTAATAAAATATCGAATCATAAATTTTATCCATACTATAAAGCTATATTGTTTATTGTGCCGTAAATAAGCTTTATACTAAAGAAATTAGTCTGACGTTTTAGGATAGTGAGTAAGCCGAATCTGAGAGAAATATATAAATATGGAAACCGCTGAATAATTTCCCGAATGACGTGTTTTGTATTTTACATCAGCGGACTATTTGGCTTAAAGCAAGGCGCATTTCAGCAAATATTATGTGTTACTTATTATTGCATATTATGTAATTAATTATAAGGGAATCCCCAGTGTGTATCATCATTAGCCTATCGCAGTCCACTGCTAGACATAGGCCTCTCCCATTGCACTCCCAGTGTGTATACTTACTTACAATAGTTACAATGCACAGAATAAATACCATGAGAAATCATCATGTGCCTACCCTTTTCCCAATTTTATTTTGGGGTAAATCTGAAATTCATCAGTTTACTTATATATATACATCATAACAATCTGCTCCCAATAGAATTGTGAGAATTGCCAAGCATTTCGTACTAAACAATGTTCGTTGCCTAGCACAATTTCACTAGAACGTGAGTCAATGCTTTCTTATCTTCTTTATGTTAAAGATTGTTGATAAACGAGACGAAACATACGTACATATGTACAAAAGTCGAGGCGCCATACAATTAGTTTGAAATGAAATAGACCTGACATTGAAACAATGATGAACAGATCAGTGGGTGGGCTAGTTTATATTTATTTATGCATTACTTTTGTCTTTATGCACTTCACATTTCGAGGCGAGATGCAAACATAACTGTGGTTGGATATTAACATGGGATAATCAGTGTGTATGTATTTAAATAATGAGACAACGATATGCCGCTTTGCGACACGCTGACATTAAATGCATAATAAATTACTAATTTAAAGGGTTAATCTTTTTCTGATATTTTATTATCAAAATTCATTGATTCGATTACCGTTTCCGAATGCTGTGTTCGAGAATTTGATTGCAAGGTATGTATGAATAATATATACATGAATTAATTGAAAGCAATATTTCACCGAATCGTGTTTAATTTTCATAGAAATGAACATGAATGAAACTAAATAGTAATTTGAGCGTTAATAGTCAATGGTTACTCCTACAAGCTGTCTGCCCACCAGCTGTTCATAGGTCCTACAGTCACTTAGACAATCCAGCTAATTTTATGTGGTTTCTAAACACATCATCATCTAAATATCTTGCGGATATAAAAAGCACGTTTAAAAGAAGCAGAACATTACTAATTTCTACACCGATCAGTAAAGTATTTCTATTTCATTATCTATAGATGAACGGTACTAGCATTTTATTGTGTGTGTAAGTGATTGTTAGCGTTGGTATCTAAACGCAATACAGATTGGCTTTCGATAAGCGTTTTCCTTAGCCCCGGGATAATCACAACCAGCTTGGGTGATGACAGAAACCATTCTTACATCAGATCCAAAGATAATTAGTAAAAAGTGTTTTTCTAGTTGTAGTAGTGTTAGTTAGTAGTTTAGTAAGTTGCTATTAGTGATTAAAGCAACCTTTCGGTGACGACTCAATCATTTAATGTACAGTGTAACTAAACCTAATGCCATACAGGTACCTATATAAGCTATGTCCACATTCAGTTTGTGAGTTAGTGCACAGTTACGTCTAACTGCGCTGAACCGAAATGAGGTGATTAACCTACAAAGAAATCAATGTAAGCGGGAAATGGAACATGTCGTTATTCACACCCCTTTGAAACTCTACCTAATATATATACTGTGAACCAGTCACTACTGTTGCAGTGGCAATGGACTTTTATGACAGAAAATAGAGATTATAAAAGAGATTATATCGATTTCTCCATAATTGAAAATGTAACTATCACCATAAAAAAACTTGTGAAATATAAAAGCTGATAAGCCACCATAAAGATTTGTGGACAAAAGATACAATGGGAAATAAAACTTTAAGAATCGATGACGGCGTCTGTTACAATAAATGTAATAAATATGGCGGATTTGTGATAAACAAAATATGAGACTGATGAAGCTTGCGTAAATGCGTATAGAACTCATTTTCTTATTTGAATAGGTTGGGCTTAGCAGAGTTCTGTTTAACTGAGGAACAATACAGAAAATATAGTCACAATATAGTTCTGTATTTCTCATAGTGAGTAGGATTGTCAGCGCTCCGTAACAGTAAGTTCGCCAATGCGCTATGTGCTAATATTTCGGCAGCCTCGCAAATTCGTAAATTTGGGAATATCGATGTATTTATTATGTTAGGAGACCACAGGCATATTTTGAGTATTTATAGTTCGTCTATGAACGTTTTCAATAACATTGATTTATTTCCCGTTGGTGAATATCGTATTAAATATTTAATGTAAATTGGTTGCGTACGGGATCAGTTACCTAAGTTTAAAGTTTGACTCAATAGTTACAGTAGTTGCGTGAGCACATCAAGTATTTAAACATTACTTTTTTTATGGAAGAGGGGGCAGACAAGCAGACGGGTCACCTTGATGGAGAGTGACTGCCGCCGCCGTGAACGCCTGCAACTCAGGAGTCTTATTCATTTACAATCATATACTTTCTTTAATTCTCAGAGAACGTTCTCCAAGAATTAAAAAATTGTGGACAGCAGGTCCTTCGATATGGAGAGTTGTAAATGTATAGGTGGCATCCGAGAGGATTTCCGCACAGAAAAAAAGGTTTTATTAATTTATTAATTTTTTTATTTTATTTTTTATCGTTTTGTGAGCTTTATAGGTCATAGGATCATTTTAAACATCAAGAAAACTCATTAGAATTTGTGAAGCTAGGTCCATTGTCATATTACATACATGTCTATTGAGATTAATTAAGATCTAAATTGCTAGCCACAAGATAGATTGAATAACATGAAAATATTAAGTTCACATTCTTGGTTTGTCGTTTGTGTTTAGACCACAAACCAAGAAGTCTGGAGGGTCGAGTCAGCGGGAGGGACTCCAAGGGCAGCAACGCACTTGTGACTTTTGTGTTGCAGGTGTCCATAGGCGGCGGTAGTAGGTGGTAAATAATCAGTCCGCATCTGCATGTTTATTTACACTCTTGTCAAAAGTTCGACACACCGCCGTATTTATAACCGCGCGGAAGGTGCGCCCTGGTGCAATGAACTTTTGTGACATAATCATAAAACACGGACATTTACAGCAGCGTAGGCAGTATGGCAGATCATCAATCCCAAATTTGTTCGAGACTAACCGTAGCAGGATTTATGCAACAATTTTTCCAAAAGTTATATATATACTCGTATACAAATTCTATCGTAGATCTTCATACAGAACTTTAAGTTAAGTGCAACTTGTAAAGGCTGTAGATAAAATCACAAGAAAGAAATGTGATATTACGTTTTGCAATAGGAAGGTTACTCTTTGTCACCTTTGTTTATAAATCATGTTTCATATAAGCGTCGATTGTTACCATACACGGGTTGTTCCGTTATTGGATCCAACGTTTGATAAAAGGATGTATCGGCCTTGCTCGTATTGGGGGCACAGATGTGCGGTCCCTGCCCCATTGTAGCGTGGGCGAGTGCATCAAATTTGTTGTGTAAGTCGACTTAATATCAGCTTACAAACAATAGATCAAACTATTGCAAGTATACAAATAATATGTTAGGTACATGTTTTTACAGTATTGAGTTACACATGATATGTATTATTGTGTATGCAAACCGCGATTCTAGAAACGTGAAAGTTCTCTATCAGAAAAACAAATGCCAATGTTAAGTAATTGCTCTTAGTGAATTATATTGTTATGAAGGTATTTCTATAAATCGTTTGCATGTTCTGTCTTTAAATGCTTCAAAGATAAATAAAGTCCTTACGAAAGTGATAAGTCGCTGTCGATGACCTATTTACATGTAAATCCATGCCAAATTATTTGCGTGCTCTTTAAGTAAGTTTAAATTTGGCGTAGGTGTAATAACAACTTCTAACGTAAGAGTGAGTCATAGCGTTTGGTTCCATACAACCATTATGAACGTATTCACAAAGATGCTTTGCAGTTAAATGTTTGCCCACCATGTCAGATGTGATCGGAATTTGGTTGCTATTTGAGACGATATCACTAGTATTCCTATGAAGATATTCCCGGGATTCCGGAATTTGATAGACTTTACATCCAAAAATAATTAAATAATCCAATGAGATTAATTGAAAAATATTTTCGTACGGGTTAGTAAGCCAAACTCCTGAAATAGTAAAAGGCGGCCGGCGGCACACGTTCTATACGAATGAGAGAGTAGATATTTGCCGTCTCGAATACACAG